GGTTGAGACGAAGTACCGGAGAATAAACATCAGCCGGTCAGTTCTCGCACCTTTCAACGCGAATAGCCCGGAGCTGCCTGGGGCTGTGCGCGAGCTCGAATCCCTCAGAGTTTGCGCGTGTTTTCCCGTAAGTTTACGCGCCATTGGCCGCCAATCTTCGGAATAAAACTGTCGCTGGGGCCCGGCGGATTCTCGAAGCGGGCCGTTGCTTCGAGAACGGGACGGCAAAAAAATGGCGATGGAAGGGCGGCGAAGGAGCGAGGAAAAGAGCGGACCAAAAAGGCGAGGAAGAAAATGGAGGAGGAAACAAGAGCGAAAGAAACACGCGGCGCCGAGGGGGAATCCCGTGGCTCGGGAAGACGGAACGCCGCGCGAGGGACGCGATCCGCGGCGACGACGAATAATCACATTTAACACGTCCGACGATACGCGAACAGTACTCCTGCCGGCCTGCTCGCGCGCGGATATATTACACATTGTATTCCGCCGGCGAACGGCGAACCTATAAACGGTGATATTACCGCGGCCAACTTACAATGAGGCTTACAATGCGACTCAGAGACCGGGGTGTATCAAGCACGTCATGAAACTGCGGAGCTGTAAAACCTGCGGCGATCCACTTCTCGCGTCTTTCTGAATTTCCGCGCGTTCCTCGGGAACACGGAGGGATTCCGCGCAACGGTTATCGTGCCTACTTTCGCCTCGTCGTTTCGTTATTCCAGCGCGAACGGGGACGAGGAAAAAATCGGCCGGCGCGAGAACCGCTCGAAAGAGGAATACCGACGCTCCGTAAGAATCGAGGGAGGAGCTTCGCTGGCCACTGAATATCTTCGACTGAGTTGACTTCGGAATGATCTTTCGCGTTCGTGAAGAATGAAATTTCAACCCTTTTAACCGTTTGAACTATGTAGGCTACAATATTGCACCAGTTATAATATTTTAATGAATCTTAAAGAAACTACCCTAAAATTATTCGATTTTTACTGAATATCTTCGAGCGAGTTGATTTTAGAATGATCTTTCGCATTCGTGAAGAATGAAATTACAATCCTTTTAACCGTTTGAATTCTGTAGGCTACAATATTGCACCAGTTATAATATTTCAATGAATCTTAAAGAAACTACCCTAAAATTATTCGATTTTCTACACATCCAAATTTTGTACTAAGAAGGAAAATAAATGATCGAAGAAATTACAAAACAACCTGGAGGGACGAACAAATGAGATAAACGCATAACTGGATTTACTTTGTGTTGTCGTGCTTTAAAATACAGAACAGTTCTCTTTTGTTGTCATAGAAAGTCGAACAGAGTCTATCGGTTGGTTTAAAGTTTAAATATTTTTAATAGTTACACGGAAAGCTGATTCACGGTGAAGTACATTTTAAAGGAAGAGTTAATTACTATAAAAAATTGACAGTATACAACATGGCCGCATTGAAACAATAAATCATTCGACCGATGTACTTCATTGTTCAGCAGAATTCCAACTGAAAAATATGATCGTCTGTACAGAATTTTGTTCCTTTACAATCGAGGAGAAATGTCAAGAGGAATCTTGCATTGTTTACACGTGGATTCGGGTCGACGTCAGTGAAATGTACTGCTGATTGTTACATACTGAAAACGGACTATCGAGACTGTCGAATCGCTGATTGAATCTGAATAGAAAGTACATTCGCAAACGAATAGCAGAGCAGTGGATGAAAGCAAGCATTACAGAGGGTCAAGTTGTCAGGTAACGGTCGATTAAGTACGTATGCATGAAGAAAAGAAGTGGAGCACTATGAACAAATTGAAAATAGTAGATGATTAAATTGCTTGCACTGTGCTTGTGGCTTAATTTTTTATCTTATAGCATAATTTTATTTTACAAAATGCGATAAAGCAAACCAGCAATATTGATACTGTCTACCAAAAAAACAATTTTCATTGAACGTCGACCGTTGGAAATTTGTTTAGAAAGATTTGGAACCATATAAATTTCTACCGTCTAATAATAGCATTTTCATCGGCGGAAACAAATATATTATATAGAGCCGTAATCATTCGTAATTGAAAAAAAAATTGGTTCCCCACGGAAAACTGAATCCAACATAGTTTTCGGTTTCCGGGAGAATTGAGTTTAAAAATTCATCGAATACGCGAACAATCGAGCCTGTCCATCGCTCGTTATATTTACATCTGCTAGCATTCACGAAAATTACTCTTCGATGTAACGTGAAAATAATGAGGTCGCGAGATTAAAATAAAAATATATAATGGCAGAATACCGAGACTTGTAAAAGTAGACACAGAAATTATTAAACGGGCACAATTATTCTTTTACAATAAATCTCACGTTTTTAACAGGAATCCGCAGAAGTTAATTCTCTTTGAAATGAAATATCGCGCGTAAAGGGTTTTATTTAACAAAAAGGTTTCATTATTAACGTCCAGAGAAGCCTCGATACATCGTTCGATAATGAAATTGAAAAGAAAATTAGAATGTTACGAATCATGTTCAAGAATTGTTTCACATATTTTAACGAAATTTTCTCCATTATTCCCTTTCGATTGACGTGGGAAAAAATCCAATTAATTATACGTTCGGTACATCAAAGTATTTCATTAGCTACATATTACAGAAGTGTAACGTCAAAGGCAAAGCCTTGAATTAAATTGAAACATCCCGTACGTATGTTAGCGAATGCTGACGGCGCAAAAACAATAGATACTTTATCGACGAGATATTATACACTGATGTTCGTAAAAGTTACTTTACAGGAGGATGCAGGATCCATAAACTAAAATTGGATTTCCGCGACTCGAGAAACGATACTATTAAATTCAATAAAATATACAAAGGGATAACAAGATGGTAGTAAAAGTGAAACAGCAATATTATAGACGGTAACGTTTTAACGAGGGCGGAAAATAAAAGAACTAATAAAACCAGTGAACGATGGCGACGGAGGCTTCACGCCGAAGCTCTTTGCGCTCTTCAAATCCTGTCCCCTTTTGAAGTCTCGAAACAATCGTTGAGGGGTTGCTTTATCGCGTTACGCGGCCGCGATGCCTGTCTCGATATCGTTTTTGATCTCGTCGAAATAACGAGGTGTAAATGTACCGGCTAAGAGCAATGCTCGCGACTGGGAGCAATCAATCATCCGTTGATTACACTTTCGTGTGCATATCTGGAGAGGGAACGTCTTTAGGGGATGAAACGAGGGTGACTATTCGAACAAATACATTTTGCTCGCGTTTTCTTAATATTTTCCGTATCGAAAATGCGCACATCGGATTTCAAGAAAGTATCTGACCGCTTCATTTTAGGGATCAATTTTTATAATCGCAAATATCAGTAGTCTGTACTGAATCTTTCAAAGTATTTTAAAATATTGACAAGATTATGCAGAAAGTAAATAACTCGATGCAGATAAATCAAGCAAAAAACATCCCTTTTATTTGGCTGTCACCCCAGTTCCTCCACTCGCCCTTAAACACATTCATACCGCGAAAACGAGGGGAAAACTTCGGTTCCTGTACAGGATAAAAAAAAAGATTATTCTCTCGATGACTTTCCCGCATCGGACGGGAGAAGGGTCTTCCGAAAGAAACACAAAAGAGAAAAAGAAGAACGGGGTGGCGGTACGGGGGGAGAGGGCCGTTCGTGAGGAAGACAACCGCGAAACTTTTCGTTCCCTTCCCGATATCGAGAGCCGACCGGCGAGCAAAACTGGGATGAACTTTAGATGAGAGAATATCGATATCATCGGCCAAAGGAGACAGTATTATTCTTCCGTCGAAGATTACGAAACTGGAAGGCATCCGGGCCCGTTCGCAAAGCGACAGGGGTGACGCGAAGATCCCACCGAGTGATTTCAACGGAACGATCCAGTCGGGAAGCTTTTTGCGAATCGTCATTAGCTTTACGATCCTGTGCAGGCAGATTTACACGGACCCGTCCCGTAATAGGTCGTGGAAGAAGGTGACGATAAATTTCATATTCTAGTGCTGCTAGATTCGCGGATCGTCTCGCCTCGGAATGACCCTGTAATTTAATGCGCGTTTTGCGAGGCATCTGTTTATACACTTCCTACGACGTGTCCGCCGAGCCAATCATATTTTCATGACGGGGAAAATAAGTACACCTCGTTACCGTGCTTTCTCGGTCGCCTGCTCCGCGTCCCGATGTAAATTCTTTTTCTTCCCCTCGATTCCCTTTTGCTCAATGCACCGTGCCACGGTAAAACTTCTATCGCCCGAACTAATGTCGAAGCATAAACGTTCGTCAAAATGAATTTCTGAATGATGGCGCTATAACTTTCTCCGCTTGTTCAACTTTGTATATTCCGGCGAGGAATTAAATGATAAAACGATGCGACCGGCGGGTAGGGGCACCTAGACGGAGGGCATCCGTCTTCGGACTCTCTTCGGGGCGCGAGGACGTTACAAAAACCGTGCAACGCTGCCTAACGGAGCGTGGGAAGATCCCTGATCCCTGGAACTAACTTTGGATAGCAGTGATCTAATGGTACGTGTCGACTCGAGAGCTTTACTCTCCAAGATGAAAGTCCGTAGCGACGGGAACTAGAGAGAGCGTGGCTCTCGTGTTAGTACGATAGCTGTCGTTGTAGCTTTAAGAATGGGGGACGGCGTTCTTACGATATCGCGTAATTGGAAACACCGAATCGATAGGTGCAATCAGATAAGGGAGTTAGATACGCTTACTCTAAGGTCGAATTAAATCGACGATGCGGCGCGAGGTAGTTTAACCGGAAAGATTCCGCAGAAATTTTCGGGAATAATTCTTTGATTTTCTAAATGTTCAAATTTTCCCCGAAATCGACGCAAATATCTTTCATCGATGAATTATCGAACAATCCGATCGCTTTAATTCGGTCAATTTCGGACTCGCAGATTGGGATGTACTCCTTCCCGACAGGTATCGGGAATATTAACCAACCGAACCAATGAACTTCCGCTTGGGACAAAACAATCACGCAATTGTCACTCACCTTTAGACGTAGATCGTTGACGGTCCACACCCTGCTGGCGTAGTCGTTGGATGCCCCGAGGATCAGCGTTCCCGTTGAATCGAAATCGACGGACATCACTCCAGCGTTGCTGCCGATGAGGTTACCTTTGCTCTCCGAAGTACCTGAAACGGAATATTGTTCCAATCGAATAAAGTGCACGGGAAAAAAGAGAACTCGTGGGAGATCGTTCGCGTTCCCTGCATTCCGCCGGCTGCACTTGATCTCCTTTAAACGCGAGCCCCACTGTGCTACGCGCGGTTCTTCGGATGTTTTCGATCCTCGCCACCCGACCGGGCGACCGGGTGCCCGAATTAAATTTCATTTAGCTTAATACGGAAGGTCAATAGACGCGCGTGCCCGTTCAATGGGACGGGTCGGATGAAGAGGAGCGAAGGCAAATAGATTTAGTAAAGGGGATGAAACAATATGCGGCCCGCGTCGAGAAAAGGGTGGGTCCCGAACGGGGGAGGGAGGCTGGGCGGGGAAGCGCGAAGAGACATGGAAGGGTAAGTTAAGCGGATATAACCCGTACAATAAGGACGGATGTTTCATCCAATTTGCAACGTGGCGAGGGGATTACATTCAGGCGCGATCGTTTCGCCATAGCCGGGGAAAATGTTTCTACCGGCGGGCAGAGGTTTAATAGGCGCCCCTATGCTGTCGCCTATACGCTAACGCGGCTGGATCGCGCCAAGTAACCTGTTGATTCGTTAACATACTTCATTAAGTGGCTGGAAAAGAGCGTTCCGCGAGAACGCCATGACCCGCCTCGCCTGACGCGCGCTTAACGATCCGTCGCGACCACCGGACGACTTCGTCGGCCGTCACTGCGAGAGACCTCTTCCGCGCCGATCACGCTCGGATCGATTAAATGCGCTGCTGAAACGGACACCGTGGTCAATCGTAAACGACGAAACGAATGGGTCGCACCAGGGAGGATCGGTTGATCGTTCGAATCGGCATCAAGAATTGATTCCGCCGGGCGCCGGTTAAGCGGTGACGTAAATCCTTCTTTCGTCTCGGAATAGAACGGGATACGTCTAACGCGTATTTGTATTCATGAACAGGGGGACGGTAACAAAGTTTTAATTACTTCATTATGGTAAGTTTTAATGAAGTTTCAAACTGACTTTCACATCACTTTATTGCCCGGCCTAGCCCCGCTAAACGTAACGAAATTGTTTTCCATTAAATTATCTCGGGTATATATCGCGGCGCCAAATCGACGAACCGATCGACGGAGAGCGGTATCTCGATTCGATTTTTCTCAATTAACGCCGTTTGTGTTCCGATCGGTTTGCTTTCCAGCGAGAAAACAGCGAATTTATAAGACTGCGAGAAATCGCGGGGACCGCGCGATAATTATTTGCTCGTTCGATCGACGCCTGTTACGAATATGAATAATAACGTAACCGCTAAACAGATTACGGACTCGAGGGATCTCGAGCACGGTAGTTCGCGATGCTCCTGTAATAGGGGTCGTTCGAGGTATCGTTGATTAATCGCGCGTATGTAGATATCCGGCACACGTATATACCGGCAAGGTGTTCGGATTCTAGGTCACTGTTTTAATGGTACGATTTTGTTTAATTAATCACCTTTTGTAATGCTCCAGAGCTTCACCTTCCTGTCAGCTCCACCGGTGGCGAGGATCCTCTCGACGGGAGACCACTTTACAGCATAAACTTCCCCGTCGTGTGCGTTCTGCAAGGGTTATTAAACGCTTGGCGTATAAACTTTGAAAAACTCGTACATGCAGGAAGCAATGGTTAATGTATTAAGCGTGCCGAATTAAAACTTCCCCGGTTGCATGAAAATTCCCGTCCGGGAACGCGAATGAGGAATTTAAAAGAAATTACGCGGCGTTCACGGCGTTCATCCGAAAAAAAATTCCAAGTTTTCTCCGCTCGAATTATTTTCGCCGACTATTAAATCGCGGTTAATATTACGTTCATCGTGGCTCGTATTTCAAGACGCTGTGCTATCTACACCTCAAGTTACGACAATATTGTCTTCTGTGTCAGGTGATCTAGTTATGACTTGAGAATTTAAGATCACGGAGAAGAATATACACTAAAGACTTTACGAGTTAATGACAACCAACAAATAGCTCAGGTAATGTGAGCGTAAAGTATGTGTGCGTAGTTATAATCGTTAGCATACTGTATGCTTTCAAATGTTGTGATATATTTATACTGCTTAGAGCTTTCCTACGTGAAGCGTATCGACCGCAATTAAGGTAATGTATACTACGTGGAACACTTTAATGACGCAAGTGTTCTCTTTTTGCAGAACATTAACTACCGAACACTGCGTGTACCGTAAATCACCTGTATTTGTTCGAACTAAATATTTCATGTACCTAAAGGATTTAAAAGCTTGCACAGATGACAGTTGGTACAGCCAGGACCGAAGTGTTTCTACGCGAAAAAATGCACTGAAAGTATAGAATGCAAATTTTTTATACGAGGCTCTGGTTTTTTCGTTGCTGATTACTTCCTTTTGAAATTTTGTTTAAAAAGCAATCGTGTACTGGAATATACTTAATTATATTAAATACAATTATTCATTTCTTATTGTAATATAAATAAAACAAATAATTATGTAATAACATTAATAAAATGGCTAAAAATGGATATTTATTATAAGTGGAAAAGTAAGTAACGGACAGACACGTTACGTATCGCACTGAATTTTGCTAGACAAATTTTTTCCAAAACGAAGATTCCTAACAAAGCCTGGTATAAAATTGTTATTCCATATTTTCACCATATTTTTTCGCGCAGAAAATAATTCTCCACTGCTTGTACCAGCAGTCATGTGGTACTATATGTGTGTTTATTAAAACCCTAGGTTTCTAAAATAAATTTCATTAAAGAAACATGCATACTATCAACTGCTCAAGAAATACAGCACAGGAGAATGTATAATATTTGTGGAAAATATATTTCACTTATAATTGCTTTCCTCTAAACTTGAAGTAACTCGAAACTCAAAACGTGTATCTAAAGTGTTTATATGTATATATATATATTATATACATCAATATAATTGTAAGCATAAAACAAGCATATACTTAAGTTAAAGTAACACTTAAATAGTATAGTAAACTTCGTACGTTACAAATAATATTTGTCTCTTAATTATAGCCGGCTGAAATAGTTAATAACGAATAATAGATTATTCGATTAAAGCAATGCTAAACCGTAGGTCAATGCAATGACCATTACACTAATACTTTAATAACGTACCATGCTCAGAGAAGAAATATACGACTCTTGAAAAATAATAACAAACACTAGATTATTACGTATAATCCCACCAAACAACCTACCGTTATAAGTACGAGACATTAACTTAAACCAAAAGACACGTGTCCTGATGTAAATACTTTAATACAATAAGTACAATTTTTTGCTAACAAGCTACATGTACGTTCGTGAAAAATATTTAAATGTTATTTTAAAAAATCGTATCAACAAGACCATATATACTCTGTATAAATAATATATGTATTTGTATATAACTTTCATAACCCTGTAATTTCGTAAAATATACTATATGCCAGTCAATCTAATCTTTTTATTCAGGAGCGTTACTTGTTCACTTAAAGACACATACCGAATGAATTGAATAATATATCACAATTCTAACCGTGTTTCGATAATAATCGTAATAGCTAGCGATCACGTACGAAAGCATCATTAAAAAAAATCTAATTAAAAAATTTGTATAAGTACTCCAGGTACCATATTCAGTGTCATCTGAACGAATAAATAAATAATGAAACTCTACGATTCTCTTCATCCTGTGAAAAAAGTTTAATTGACTGCAGTCTGCAGGAATAACAATTTCCATATAGTTATCTTCATACATATAAAAATAGTTCCGTATTAAAGCGTCTCGAAATCTTACGTAAATTACTCTGATAATTCTTACGTAGATTAGGTTTATCGCAAAGCTGTATCTCTCGCGATTTTACTTTCTCCGTCCGGAATCACTCCCTAATACTAATAATACCAGTGTAAGAACAGGAGAAGAGGCTCCCGGCGTCACGTTATCAAACGGTCGTTCGCGATACAAGTTCAATCAGCTTATCACGCACCGCGCGACCATCGTATGACGATCGCTGTCTTATCTCGTTGTACAAAACATGCAGTTCAGTGTTACAAGAAATTAATAGACCATTTGTACTAGAATTTCCACAGCGATAGCATAGTATAAATATATATATATGTATATATATATCTGTATATATGTATAAGATAGTTCATAAATTAAAGGTTTGTCAACGTACAAACGTAACGGACACTTTTGTTGGTACAGCGGTAGGAAGACCAGAGATTCCTTCTTTTAAACTCGATCGATCCGGACTAACGGGTCGCGCGTCGCGAGCTGCGTCCTCCAGCTCCTTTTGCACCTTTGCCTGCCTCTTTCTGGAAAATGAACAAACATGCGGGCAATTAGCGTTGGGAGATTGTTTAGGCGGTCGAGATGACGCTTTGTATAAATACCCCATGGAAAACGTTGAAAAACACCGTGTATCTGTGAACGATTCATCCAATTGTTATACGTCATGCAATATAAAACTATTAGTGGAGCCGTTCTCTTCGCTGTTGTTACGCATTAATATATTACTATAATGTGGACACTGCGTTCGTTGCATTAGTCGTATTTATCTGATTGCTTGATAATCGTTATGGTCACGTGTCGAATCGACAATTTTTATTTGAATAATACGAACAGAACGTTAAACGAAAGAGTACGAGACTTCAGGAATAGACAGTAGCCATTAAATATTGATGTGGTACCAGAGATAATAGTTCTGAATTCGATCAAGCTAACACTTTAACCCTTTTACTTCTTCTTATCTCATTGTTATTTTTACCGCTATCTATGTATTAGGTGCTTGAAGATGTTTTGAACGATGTATACGCTGAACATAAATATTTCATATAGTCACTACACTATAAATGTATATAATGGTACTTTACATAGAATGAAATTAAAATTAGTGGTGTTTAATCCACTTTCAAAGTGTGAATGTTCGATACACAGCATTAACTGCATCTATAATTCTTTTATGATATTTAATACTTAACCGAAAGAAAAATACAATTACTTGATTATCAAGAATCAGAAGATTTCTAACCATATTTATTTTCATATTGTTTTTCCTTTTTTAAGAAAATTAATGAGTACCATCTCTCTTGAAATTCTCAAATATTGTCTTTAACACTTTATATGCGTTTAATAATAAGCACAACTGTCCTTTAAGCATTCTTACAGGTAACGATTAAATTAAAATTAATTCACACGTATAATAATACGTGTCACGGTTTTATACACCAAACATAAATAAATGGTACGTTTAAATACATGATACGGATCGTTTAGCAAACCGCTCAAAGCTGTAAAATGGTGCGCTAAGCGTAATTTCTGTCACGTCTCTTGTTAAGACTTACCCGAACTTTGACAAGGTATGCATCAAAAAGGCTGTTGGACTGGAAAAACTCTCACTGAAACGAAAATGTCAAGCAGTGTGATGTGCTAGTGCAAAAAAAAACTCTACAGCGATAGTATCTCACGTCTCTCCCCTTCCTAACTCTTTTTTCTCTCTTTCTACGAAAAGCGAAAATTTATGAATAGCATTAGCAATTATTCAGAAATATGCTGTCCAAACACTTTTCCAAGCGTCGAATATTAAAATATAGGAACTTAAAGGTACGTGAAAAATTCACCCTTAACGGTACTAAATCATGTAATTATGTTTTTAAATATTTTGTACATTAAACAACTTGTTGTAACAGTGAAGGTACATATAGACGGTATAATAAAAATAAAAATATAAGTATATTATTATGAATGAATAATGTGAATGCGTCATTTAGCGTTATTCATTAGTGGCAATGTAAGCTTGTAAAATATTAACAATTTCTTAACAATAAGACATATATCCGTTATTACAAAACATTTTGTTAGAACAAATTGGTAATTGCACGTTTTGGTGGAATATTGTTATCAAAATCATGCCTCTGTTAAAAACGAAGCATAGCACTAATAAAGGTACACCAGTTAAAATAAAATGTTAATTTTTTAAAGAAATAGCATCTATGTTAGTTTCTTCTTACTCACTTTTCACACTTAAAAATAAACCCGTTGTATGAAGAATAATGATGATTTCTAAATCTTATCTCAGAAACCGTAATAGCTATAATGAACAATACGAATTGGACATTATTTTTGAAGAGTGCTTATTGAAGTGAATCTTTAGCAGTAATTTTTTTATAATTATTGTCAAATGTAGGCATCATATTCCTTCAACTACCCAATTTAAATGCATACAATACAGACATGTAAATAGTAAATAATATATAGAAGCAAAGTAGTGTTTAAAATCCTCTGACATGAATTTTTCTGATAATTTCAAATTGTTAAATGAAGAAATATTTCATATTATACTGCTCTTATAAATTTTATGATTCTGTAAAATATTGACTTTTCGTTATTTCCATAGTATGGACATTCAGTTATTTTAGATTATTTTTCATTTGTGTATGTCCAGTTTGTCTTTATCACATTGTATCAATAATTTTTCTTTCATCCTGAAGTATTTACACACATTCATTTACAATATCTTCGATATCTTTCTGTATGATTAATGTAAAAAATGGTTAATGTTATATTTGAATTATACTGTATAATATAATAGCATCAGCCAGTAGCATTAAATATATGTCCACATATGCATCACAACAAGATAAAACTTTCATAAATTTAAAAAATATATATGGGAACAGTATTAGAACGTTTATAAATTGTAAAGTATTATTGATTATTTGAAAGTGACAAACTTGCAATTATAAATTTTAATCTAGCCATAATAACATTGTAGATTCCAACAACTAATAAAATAAATTTCAATCCTTTCGATATAAGTAAAGTAAGAATAATATGCAACTTGGCAACTATAAAATTTTACCATTAAAATAACCATAAAATAAACACTGTTACTAAATAATGATAACATGATGCTTTATGTATTCAAAAAACATTACAGAAATCTCGAAATATTATAAAAACGTCTGTATTAAAAGATTAAAAAAGTAAGCTTCTAATATAGCATATCAAATATTCTTCTTGAAGATTTTACTTATTTCAAGATAATATAATTACTGTGTTGACATCGCGAATATTTAAACACATATCATAAAACAAATATTAATAGCAAAATCAGTAATATGCAAAAAGTTTTGATGCATTTCCTTTTCAAAGAAAGAAGCTAATATCCCGTGTTGGGTAAGTTACTACATTATAAAATATTCATATAATGCTGAGATTTCCTATCAATTATTTATTACTGTATAACAAGAGGTAGTAACGCGTGGATATTCTTTTCTGGCATAATATTTACATTTCTAAAGAAATTGTAATATTAGATAATCTTTTTACTCTTTCATAACTATTTTGTTATAAAAAAACAAAATATCTGATCACTTGAAATACAAAAGTGTTGTTGCAAGATTGCTTAAAAAAAACATACATATCTAATAATAATAGTA